AAGAGCGTAAAGCCCCCCGATGCCGTTTGTCTCCGCAAAACCAAAGGGGAGATGAAAGAAGCAGCAAAAGTCCTTTTTTTTGGTGTTTGGTGGGGTTTTTTTTGGTTTTTCTTTCTTTGTGAAGAACGCAAATTGTCGCTTCTTTGACGGAAGGATCGTTGTTCCGCGAAGGTGTGCGCCCTGCCCCTGCGCGGAGCTGCAAAGGGGGTGCAGCCCGGTGTTTACATGTGCGATGCTCCCAGTCAAAGATCAGAAATTAGGCCGTCAAAGGCACGATGATAACACACAATAAAATCCTGAGATTTCTTTTTCCGTAAAATAATTCAGTAATGAAATATATAAAAATACATGTATGAAATGATTTAAATAAAAGATGAAAATACACTGGCTTTGCTTGTTTGGTGTTGAGATGTACCCGAGCAGTGCTGCTGGTCTTCTCTCTGCACTCAGGTGCTTAGACTCAGCCTCAAGGGACTCTGACTTTCTATACACAAGGGAGATCTGCAACACACCTTCAAAGGATAGTCCTGGGAGCTTAAGCTCACAGCTTTACTGCATACTAAAAATCTTGGTGTGGCTTCTAGAGCACAGTCGGGTCTATTTTCCCCCCACTAACCTCTGACTGTTACGTTTGTGTCCCTCTGTCCTGTGAGGAAGGAGGAGCTGCCAACCTGTCCCCCTCTTCCTGCTGCTCCACAGGTACCCGCCATCCTTTCTTCTCAAGTGCTACCACAACGTATGTAAGGTATATCCAGAGCTGCTGCCGTGTCTGCTCTGTTCTTAGGCTGGAATTCGCTGTTCTCTTTCAGACCTCGAAGCAGCAGATGCATCTCTCCTCGTTCACAACCAACTCCATCATCCTACTGGACAATATCCCTTCTCCTGTGCAAAATCAACATTAGATCATCGCAATTACAACAAAGTAACTACTGGAAATACTCCAGCAAAAAAGAGTATAATGCTTGCCACCTTTGCTTGGACCTGAGCTTTCTCTGGGCCAGTTTCTCATCTCTCCTACTTAGTTCCAGCCAGAATCAAATGCTCAGAAGGAATTTTAGGAACTCCCAAGTAGGTAAGTGGTCTTACGTAGGAGCACCCCAAAGCGCAAGATTCAAACAGCTCTCCTCCGTTTGCTACAGCAGTAACTTAACAGGCAGCAAGGCTCTTCAGGTTTAAATCATCCCCCTGAAATGTACTTTTAAGAATGTAACGTGGCAGCATGGACCTCATCCCACACTCTAAAAGAGACTTTTTAATCCTTTTTGTCTTTTTTTTTTTTTAAAAAAAAAGCTTCCTAGTCCATCAAAGGGTTTCCATCAAATCTCCTGCAAAGTCAATAAATTCACGCTGTTTTACCAGTCAAGAAGTTTTGATAGTTCCTGTTGCTCCTATTGCTTCCAAACAGTTACAGCATGTATAAAGAGGGTCTTGTCTATGGAAAGGGTGAGTGGCTATGCATACAGATCCAGTCTACTAGGGAGGAATGAACTACCTCAGTGTTCTTACTGTGCAGCCAGCAGGCAGTTCAAGTGTAACTTTGAGGTTAAGGCTCTGCGAGATGCCTGCCAGCAGGACCTCATCCCTAGCTGTGGGAGGGAACAAGGTAGCAGGAGCTGCTGATGCAGAGAACTGTCTTGTTTTCCCAGTCTAGTCAAGTCCGCCTCGATCTCAGTGCTATGGTGGGATAGCAAAGGAGCTGCTGCCATTTCCCGCTTGTGAAATGCTCCCGACAATCCTCACCTTTAAAGTGTGCAGGCTCTTAGCAATGGTGAAGACTTTGGCATACAGCTCACGGGATCAGGGAAAGTCAGCTTTCCTTGATAGGACTTCAGTGGAGAACAACAGAGAAACTGGCCGTACCTTACCTGTTGCTGGTTTGTACCTTAGGCTCCTGCCAGTGTGCCAGCGTGTTTCTCTGATCTACTATTTTGCTCTGAACTTCCTTGGCGCTTGTACATTTTGGGATATATGGCGTGGTTCTTACTTTCTCTGGCCCAGCTCTCATCTGTCTACTCCTGCCTCTGCAGCTCCAGACACAGAGGAGGAGGTTTGCCTGGTCAACAGTGCAAGATACTCACTGATACCTTAACGGCAGGCTGTGGAAGAAGATAAACGTAAAATTTAACAACTGCCTATTCAGCCCATCTGATACTTTAAATGAAGTAGAGGCCCTAGGGAGAGAAAATAAAGAAAAAGAGTATGTGATCATGTAATTAAAGACTGGATCATAATGAATATGCACAGAAGGGTTGAATTAAGGTTGTACTGGCAACCCAGCTTCTGATATTTCCTAACTTTTAAGCAATGCAATGCAACCTTTACAACATTTCTTTCATGTTGTTTTGGCAGGAACTGTTTCTCGCCATTGGTTTGGAGAGAGCCTAGCGCTTTGTGAGTTCTGTCATAATGCAAATAAGTAATAGACATACAACTACTTTTATCTGTGCCACACACACACATACACACCCTGCAACTATTGCCACATGCTCTTTTCCCAGCTTTTTCTGAAGGAAGCTACTGAGTGTTCTTTATGGTAAGTGGGAAGATTCAAGAGTTCAAAGGAGAAGAATTAGAATTATTTGATTTTTAAAAAATTTGTTCTGGTCCTAGAGTCTGAATTAAGATATATTTATTTGTGAAAGTAAATACACTACATATACAGCACGGATTTTTTTATTCCTGTTTGGGAAATTATTCCTGACAGAAAGGGAATGCAAGAAAATGTGAAGATATTACAGGCTTTTTGTGCTGTATATTTTTAAACCCTTTCAATGCAGAAAAGGATTAGGTCTGTTCTCTTCCTGTTCCACTGTCAGTTCTAGTTATGGTTTTGCACTGTTTGGCATTTACCTAACAAAGAAGTAACAGCTGAGAAATAATTGGTATTTGTTTCCAAAAAGCTGTATATGTGCCTTAGATTGGTGTAAGTGTTCTCACCTGCTAGCTGAAGAGTACTGTTTGCAATACATAAAATATATCAACAATCCATTCGATGTATAGAGTTTATTTTTAGTGTAGGTAGATGTTCTTAAAATGCCACATTATTTTTGTCATTTAGCAAGCATTTGAAAGCATGTAGCAAGAGGTTGCTTCTGTTTTTTTTGTTTCTGCAGAGGAAAGCTTACCATGGGGTGCATAAAACATTTATTAATGTTTTAGCTCTCTTCAGTCTTTGCTCTGAATACACAGTTACAGCTGTAGAGACATTAAGCTGGTTTTCCAGGAGGCAGATGTAACCCAGTGAGTCTGTAGCCAGCCCTGCATCTCCACGTTGCTCCCCACAGGACCCCATGGCCTGGTTGTGAGCTCCCACCTCGTTCTGTACAGTTTTCAAGCAGGCCCCCCTCAAGCTGCAGTGGTGCTGCTGGAGTCCTGCTTGGAAAGACTCTGGCTGCGCAACTTGGGTTAAGACGGAGACAGAAGTGGTTAGCCCCCCTCGCTGCAGGGTGAGTGCCCTTCAGTGCCTGTCAAGGGGTATCTTGGGTCTGATTCTTTTTCCCTGAAGCCTTGAGAGCAAGCTGCCGTTCATGTTGTGTTGCCACAAGACATGTTCGGACTTGAACTCAAGCTCAGACCCGGGCTCAGAAATGTCTTGTGGATCCAGCCCACTTGTAAAGCGGAACTCTGCAGCGAGGCAGGGATAAGGGCTCTTCAGCTCTGATTGTAAGCCTTTATCTCAACCCAGCATTACGACATTGAAAGTAACCACACTGTTGTAGCAATGAGTGTTTTATCCTGAAAAAGTGTGGGGGTGAAGAAGTCAGTCGCATATTCTTCCAAAATGGAGAAGTCTTGCTTTTGAAAGCATAAGATAGACTGGTGAGTCAGAGAAAGGGCAAAAGTCTGATTTGTGACCACATTGGGAATCCCCCCCCCAGCATGCTCATGCATGCACGCATACACACGCATGCACGTGCGTGCACCCTGCATTTGTAGGCTCATCTATCACGCGATGAATTCCTCAAACGTCTCACACAAGCAGAGTCCTGTTTAAGCAAGTGGGACAAGTCCCATAAGCCAGAGTCCCATTCTGCAGTCCAGTAATAGTCTAGCAAACATCTCTGCCACTGCAGGAAGCTTGGCAGGGGATGGAAAGACCCGGAGGGGCAAGGGGAAGCTGTCAGCCTTGGTTAGAACTACAGCATGTTCTGCAAAAGTAATTTCAGGAAAACCATGACATGCTACAATGACAAACTCTGCTGCACTTACTCCATACACAAAAAGATTTGCTCTGTGGGGGATGAGTCTGATTTCATAGGGACCGCTTACAGAGAAGAGATTCCTTGTGGCGTGAGCCTCAGGTGGCAGAAACCAGAATCTGGCCAGGACTGATTCAGCAGAAGGCTCTTACTATGCTGTTGCTTTGATTTCAGCAAACAACATGTGACAGCATGCACATTTAATAGATAAAAAGTAAATTCAGAAAACAATATTCTGTTTTCATGATAAAGCTGATTTTTTTTTTCAAATGGGTAGTAGCAGGTGTTGCAGCGCACAGGGTGCTTGTTTTTAACAAAGCAATCATAGTTTGGATCCAGTAACAACAAAAATTTAAGAAGACAATAGAAGCAGATGATGTGAAAGCTTGTCAATAGAGAGCTCCTCACAACACTGAGTTATACATAATCATTATTACGCATCCATTTTTCCATTTGTATGCACTTATGAATAAAACAGGAGAGACTAATATAGATGAGATAAAGAATCTGACAGTGCAATCCTGCATGGGAAAGCTATTAACAATAGTATTAAAGTGAAAGGAGCTTTTAAGTGAAGAGAATGATTTAACCATTTGTTGTCAAACTCTGTGATCAAATGTTGTCATCTCAAATTCCAGGTTTTTACCGCTCCTGTAGTTTTTCATGGTGCAGCTCGCATGGGAGAGATGATAAAAAAGGTTTATAGTTCTCTGCTTCCCAGAGCTTTCTTTTTGGGCCTGCAGTACAGCCTGAGGAAGGCCTGAAAATGTTCCGAAGCTCCGTTGTGCATCATGGCTATATGTGGGCTCTGGCACTGACCGGTGCCCGCCAGGACAGCCTGTGTCGGTCAGCGCGGGGCTGCTGGTCCCCCCTCGCCCTCCTGCCAGGCAGAGGGGACCCAACCGGGGGAACCTGCTTCAAGGAGAATATCCTGACACCCACTCGGGCATTTCAGGGATTCTTCAGGATGCTGAGGCAGCTTAAAGAAGGAGGGGAAGGCCTGACACTTAGTCCCGCGTTTAATCCTGCATCAAGTCGATTGGTGTTCTTGAAGGGTTGATTTCTAGGTTTGAAGGCCCAGAGCAGGGTTGTCACCCTCAGCAGGGGTCAGGGTGATGACAAGCAGTGTCCTGAGCATAACCAAGAGTTGGTTTCTTCCGGTGGTTATGCTAGTAGTTGGGGAAGGACGAAATCAGCATCAGGAAAACAGGATTACATCTAGAACAAGCCTATCAACTGCTGTGTTAAGGACAGCAAAAATCATTACGGATTATAATGTGGCCTTCTGAATAATGTTTGTCCACAGAATGGGCATCAAAACATCTGATCCATCTAAACACATCTGAGCATACTTTTTACAAAGGTATCGCTTCCAGAGCAGGGCTTCCTGCAGTGGAGAGTCCACCAGCCTAACTGTAATCGCCAAGACCCCTGCATTTTAGTGATACTCTTATAGCAGTATTTCCTGACTGTTAGAATAGAAACTGGGATTGTCTGCAGATTTTAGGTGC